TTATAATGAGGGTTTGCTCTCAGCGCTGGAAAAACATTGTTGCTGCTAAGTGTTTTAGTGTTTCTACCCTCAGACTGTGAAAACCAAGAAACAGATCAAATAACTTAATTTCAGCAAGAAAAAAAAAACTAGAGAACAGAATAGAGTTTAAAATTTTCATCCATCATATGACAGGCCTCCCTTTGAATGCAGCTTGACCAGTTTACATCTTAAAGATTAATTTGGATTCAAACCAGTTTGAGGCCTTCCCAGCCAGCTGTAGCAAAATTAATGCTGAGAATTAAAACTTACAGGCCATGTTTATTTTTTATGCCTCAGCATAGTTTACTTAGTCACATAGTTAATGAAACCTCAGTTTCTTTAATTAGGTTCGTTTGTAATTTTTACTCTCAACTTTGAATGTAAAACTGGGTTTTTGTATAATACATAGGAAAACCTGAAACCCTTTCATTGTGTGCCTCATTACATGACTGTTTTTTCCACTAATCTGTTGCTTAAAAGAGAAAAATTGGAAAAAGTTTAGACAGGAGGCAGTGAGATTTTAAGAAATTTTTTTTGCTGTGTTTTTTTACAATATGATTCATGCCTTGATAATGTTGGTTATGTTGCCTTCTCCCAAAAGTTTTTTTTTTTTTTACTCTGCAGATTCATTATTTTTGAACTTATAGGATTCTCGCACAAATGTCTCTAGCTTTATGTTTTGACCGGAATTAAAGCTGCACAATTTTATGAAGACATGCAACACCTACGATGATGTCTGTTAGTATTAGCCCACTTTTTTCTTCTTTGCTATCACAGCAATGTCTGCATCCCTCTGTGATTTTCCTCACTTCAAATTTATGTTCTGGATTTTCAACTTTGTATCTGAACCGTTTGTGTTTGTCCGCTGTTGCCTTAGTAGACATTCCTTCTTTCAAGAGTGATCTGAGGATCAGTTAAGACAAGACAAACACAAACTATTTTAAGAGTTATCTGAGTATTTAAAAGCACAGAGATGGGAAATTTCCAATGTTTACACTGCCTTTGGGCAATTTTAACTCAACAATTTTAGTTTAAATTGAATCGTCGTACAGTGATGTCCTTGAAAGATTTACTTACACATATTTCAATGATGTGAAAGGATTTTCACATCATTTTGCATCACATTGAAATGTTAAATTAGCAGAAATGAAAACAGTTTTGTTTTCACGTCTTTGGTCTTCATTAGTGGCTCCAAGGGAAGATAAACTTCATTAAGTGACGAGTCACAAAACTTTGATTGTTTGCAAAAAAAAATGTTTTAAGGGAGTTTAATGTAATAATTTTGCCTTTTTTAACCACCAGTGCCCTTTTAATGTTTTTTGTTTTGTTTTTTTTCCTGTGGTTATAATTCCAAACTAATCCTTAAAACAACCCCAACTAGATAACTATATAGAACAGATTTAACACAACCTCTTTTTTTTTCTTCAATTTAACTTTTAAGCAGCTGCCAAAGGGCCTCAGTCCAGATCTGATCCAGCTTTACTTGTAACATTCCTAAGATTCGCCAGCATGTCATACATATCTGCTTCTCATCCAGCACAGAAGAGAAATAATTAAGTAAAGGGACCGAGTATATTTTTGTTACAAAGGTTTAGCGTTGACACACTCAGAAAGGAAGAGAACCTTTAGCAACTGTGTCAGAGTAAAACGAGCTTCTCAGGTCGTGGAACTCCTCAGGGGTGAAAAAATGATGACGATGAGAAACTACTACTGTAGCTGTTCAGAAATGCTTCGCATGACATCTGTAGGTACTGTATGAGAAACGTGGCTGTGTGCGGTGCTGCTGTTTTAGACAGCAGAGGTGCTCGGGTGTTTGATGATGGAGGGAATCCCTTCAACTATACGCTGTAATTAGCTAAGCTTGTTCTGTGGATGCCAGGACTTTTAAGTTACATCTGTGACTCATTTTCTGTTTTTGTTACAAGCTAAATGGATTCTTATGTTAATCAGTGGTATTACTCTGAATGCACTGTTTTTTTATTCTTTTTGTGACCAGTCCTCACTTTTTTGTTAGCAACAGCACAGAAAAAGGGCAAATCCTGAATATTAATGTAACCTTAATATTATTGACTTAGTTGGAGAATGGCGAGTACTGCTGAGCAAAGTCAAAATCACTGGAGAACAGACAGAAGACAAAGGTTGCTGTAAAATCTGTTGCAAATTTTTCTTGTCTTCTTGTTTGAAAAGCAGCAATTTAACTTTCACAACAGCAAAGAGGTCTGCTTTATCTCACCAGGAACTGCAGCTCCACAACCATAAAGAAAACTTTCTGCAAAAGTTTTCAGTAGCAGTAAACTTTTGATCTGTGGAAAGAGAAAATTAATTTTATTAAAGCAGATTATGGGTTGTTTAATTTGTTATTTAAATTATTTACATTTACAATTGGAATTAATTACTGTAATTTGCAATGTGATCTTTCTGATGTTATGTTACTGCTATTCTGCTGGAATTGTTTCTTTTTTCAATTTTGTATGTCTTTTTATGAACATGCAGTGTTTTTAGAAACAGTTTAAACCTCATAACTAAACATCAGGAAAAAAGGCTAAATTGTGAATAGATGTAGGATTTATTAGAAAGTGTGATGCCTCTGAAAGCAGTGGCTCAGTCATTTAAAATCTGAGATTTTTGGTTTAATAAATTAGGAGTTTAGAAGTTATTTCCTTTTCGGCCTCTAAGTACAAAACAGCTTGTCTGCATGTGAGTTTTTCTCATCACTCTGAGGTGTAAATGCCTTAAAGTACAGCATGCAGTACAAGTCAAGCATATGTTGCTATCAGTGGTATTTGGTTTGTGTATTTTGTTTGCTTCAATAAAAAAAAGAAATGTTGTGAAATAATTGTCTTGTAAAATTACCTGTGGTTGAATTTTAGAAGTGTGAATAAACATTGAAGACTTTGTATATATTACCCAGCACAGATATTAATCCAAATTTATTTGAGATTAATATCAATTATGTCAACATATTCTCTTCAAAGATAATATAATACAAATTATATTAACCTGAACCTTCACTGTTTTTTTTAGGTTTTTGGATTTCCCAAATTTTTAACCGTTTATGTGCGGGTTTTAACAATTGGTCACTTTTTTCCATCCTATCAGTGCATATTGGAATGTTTTTATGCTTCAACTTGAGAGAAAAAGATGTAAAAAAAAAAAGGCCCTTTTTGAGCTCTGATGTTTTAGATACTCCTATGGTTCCAAACACTTGAAACAAATAAATAACTTATGAGGCTTCTGCACCAGCTCTGAAGAATTGGATAATCCAAACGGCCTATGAAATAAAGGCTGGAAGCATATAAAATATTTGTCTTTGCATGAGCAGGTGTTTTCCTGTCTCTCTTGGTTCATTTTCTCCTCTCACTTTAGCTCAACTTTGAGCAGCGGCAGATCAACTAGGTTCCATGTTCCCTTGACTTTCTAAAAGCCTTTTCTTGTCCCAGCAGTACCTTTGAGACTCTTTCCTGCTTTGTTTTCTCATCATGTTGAGTTACATTTGGCAAAATAGTTGAAGTTAATATTTAATCATCCATCAACAAATCTCATCTCACTCCCTATTGCAGTTCGGCGAGCTCACTGCTTCTCTAATCCCTAATTAGATAGATGTGTGTACTTAGAGGATGAACACTTGTGTCCAAGTGAGTCTTGCTTGTAAGACCAATTTGTGATGTTCTGACATTTACAGGGGAACAATTTCTCTTTCTGATTCTTTTTACATTTGGGTTATACTTCAGTGAAGGGTGTCTTCATGCAACATTGAGAAGATTTAGCTGTCTGATCAGAATGCCTGACAGTATCTTCTGGGAGAACATTCATTACAGATATAGAAGAACAGAGACTCAAGGAGATGCCATTACATTACTCTTGTGTTCAAATACTCTTATGAACTAAGCTTGCTGCAATATGTAATTAATCATTTCATTGCACAACAAATAAAACTGAACTTAATTCTCCGCTCTGATTAACATTTTTGAAGGGCAATTTTAAAAAATGTGTACACACAACTGCACAGTTTCAATTGTGTGTGGTTTTTAATTAAGTCTTACTGATTTTTGATTGCCATGTCTTATTTTGGATATTTAAAATGCCTTCTAATGTTAAGTAATCTTTACAAAATTAAAGTTTATTGGTCTTTGAGAGGTTGAAATTGCATTACTACTTGAAAATAGTTTTTAAACATAATTTCATCACAATTGGGACAATTTAACATCCAGCACATTTATTGCGACAGGCATCCATATGAAATGTTTTTACCATTTCGGAATGATGCAGCCACACTTCTCCTTTCTGCATGCAGATATTCCAGCAGAGATTTTCCTTCTGAAGGCAAAGGATAAAAACCTGCTGGAAGTTGTGCCACACTTAATCATCCCTGAAGTGAAACATAATCTCTGCAGAAAAACAGCTATAATTTAATTTCTGCTTTTCAGACTCACTCAGGTTTCATCTTGTAGTCTTTCAAACAAGCATTTGTCTTTAGAATGGATCTTGGAAAGTGAATTTTATGTGGCAAAAGGGTTTACATGACCCAGGAACAGCAATCACCTGCTGCGGAGTATCGCTTTAAAGCTTTTTGATTTCTAAATTGGCCACTTATGGCAGAGGCCCAAACAACAAATCTTAGCATTAAACCCAAAAAGTTCATAAGCTGTTCACGTTTTTCAGGATTTATGCCACTTGAGAAGATGGTGAACTTGCTTAGGCCAGAGGTCTGAGGTTGTCACTGTTATTAAAGATAATATGACCCTCCTGGTGTAGTCAGGCCTACATATGGTGAAATAAATCCAAATCATGCTTATTATAAACATAAAAGGGACATTTTCAGTAGAAAACTGGGCTGAGTAATGTCTGGATGATTCTATTTTCAAATGGAGGCAAACTCAGAGGAAGAGTTGTAGTCCTTTTCATTCATTCCTGTTAAGCCCTGAACAAGACTGTGTCCTCCTCACCTACTCAAGTTAAATAAATCAGCAGAAAAGGAGCAAATCATGAAAACTTTATTAAAATGAAGATGACAACCTTCTTCCAGGCTTATCGGTGAGCAGCTGCCATCGGGTAAAAGGGAGTGTTGGCTTAGGAAGAGAGACCACATTCAGGAGTAGAGCATTACCACTCCATAACCCTATTGCTCTGCTACAGGGATTTTCTGCAGAGGTGAAAATAGAGTTGCTGTGTATAATGCAAGAGGTAGTTTAATAAAAACATGCCGCAAACTCTTCATAATGACCTCCTAAAATTACATAGGGGAAATATATTAATTACACAGCACTGAATACACAGAAGTATGGCATTAGAAATGTAAAACTGTACCCCATAAATTAAAATAAAAATGCAACAATAACATTGTTCAACAATATTTGTTTTTAACATGCAAATATTACTTGAAGAATATGTTATCAGTGCTGATTTCGGCTGATCTATAACCTTCACAAGTTGTTTTAGTGGTGTCTGTGCAGCACTGCCAGTCAATTTAGGGTGTCCTGCAGGTGGATAAAGTACCTGGTAAGAGTCAAATCCTTTTAATGCGGAGTTTTCACACCAAGAGATTGTTTTTACACAAGAGAAAAAAAGATTGCATTTGATGGTTTGTCTGTCCATTTTGTCTTAAATTGTGTCACAATTGTAAGAAAAGTCTATTATGTGCCCATAAGAAACATTGAGTGTGTGCCAATGCCAAACCCCTTTTCCACATCAGTGTTACCAAGAGTTTGTGGTGAGGCAAAACCACTGTATGGGTCCATGGGTTTTGTTTGAGAAGGATATTCTGTAAGGTAATTTTTTTTAGCTTTAAATTATGTAATAATGTAGAAGGACTAACATTGTCACTTCAATTTTTTTATGCAACATGTTTGAAAAATTATTTAGTCTCAAGTGGTACAAAATAAGAGTTGGTAGCACAAACAATTTGCTATTTTTTTCTTTTTTATGGAAACAACCCAGACTCTCAGCTCTACTACTCAAAGAAATGTGTTTTTATTACAAATGTGACACCATTTAAATTGAATAAACAACTTTCACCGCAGTGAAAGATTTATAGTCTAGAAGGATTGCAACAGCAAAAAAAAAATAGTCAAAGAACTGTGCTTGCTTTTTGTGAAAAGCTTGTCGTTGAAAATGTTGAATCTTCACACATTCAGTATTTTTTATTTTTCTTAATGTATCTTTGTTTGGATTTTCTGCTCTGTAATTTCTCTCGCAGGAAAGGTTCGCTGGTCTAACTTTAGCAGATTTAACGACAAGTAGCAGTAGCTTTGGAGCCAAGAGCAAAAAAGATTAATATGATATTTTTATTTACATTACAGGTCAGCATGCTTTTTCTCATACATTCAATTCTGTGTAGGCATTGATATTGATATTGTGTGCCATTTTCCTTTGTTTGTTTGTTTGTCTCGGGGTTTTGTTTTTTTTTTTTCAATTTTCCACAAGCAGACCTACAAATCCAATGAACAAAAAAATCAGTCCTGAAACAGACGACATGCACATTCAGTGGCAGCAAAGTACAATAATTTATGGAAGACCCAAAAAGCTTGTGTGATCCCCTCTTACAGCCTGTCTCCATCACCTTATTGATCCTGAAGCATCAATCTAAGCAAAGCAGGGTCAGTTAATGTTCCCTAGGTGTATCAAGTCCATTATGTTTGAGTTGACAAAGTTTCAGACCTTACAGCTGATACAGCTCCTTCTTTCTCATTGTTGATGGGTAAGACGGATGCTCCACATAGCTGTAGTTTATCACTCCTCCTTCATCCTCAAAATCAATGTCATCTTCCTCAATGTCATCAATATCATCATCGTCCAGGCGGCGACTGTCCCTGTCCGATTCCTCATCCTCTTCCAGCTCATTCTCGCAGCTCACTTTGATCTCCTTGCGATTGTTGTTGTTTCTCACCGACGCCTCCAAAGCTTTCTGCCGGCGGTAAAAATGGGAGAACTTGTTGAAGATGATAGTGATGGGCAGAGCCACCACCAGAGTGCCACCCAGGATGCATCCACTCGCTGCTAGCTTTCCGGCGACTGTCACAGGCACTACGTCTCCGTAACCCACCGTGGTCATGCTGACAGTTCCCCACCACCAGCAGGCCGGGATTGTGTCCAAGCCTACATCCTGAAAGAAAGTACAAGGTAGAGAGGATGATGTTCTAAACATCATCCTCCGTTTGAAGAGGATGATGTATATTCATCATCCTCTGTTTGAAGAGGATGATGTTTTAGGCAGTTGCATGCCTAAAATAAATTATCCAACTCTTTCAAATAATGTTAGCTCAAGGTCAGTTCTTCTCACTGTGTCACTCTGCCTGCTAACATCTGTACCTCGAAAAGATGTTTTGATATACAGTAAATCATTCCTTTGTAGCTCTGGTAATATTTTATGGATGTTGGCCTCCAGGAAGCCCAGGTCACTCTGGACTGAATTTATATGAATTGGATTTTATGAAATTTGACTGGTTTGATTGAATATGGACTAAGCTTACGCACCTAAAATGGAACAGATTCATTTGTAAAGTTCATTCCAATGATACAAGTGAGCAACTATAGCTATGTTAACTAAATAGAACTCAATGTAGATGTTAGAACTTTGTTCTCAGTTTCAGCTTTGTATGATTCTGAACAAATCTTAACGAAGAGCAAATATCAGAGGTTATAGCATTGCAGACTCTGACAAAGGTGATTGCCTTTGGAGACGCTCATTAACCCCCATGATCCAAGCACTACATTCTGTATCAACGAGGAGGATAAGGAAAATAAATTGTCTTGCTATCAAAGCAAAAACAAACTGTCGATGTAAGGGTTTAAACAACAAATTAGTTTTCTTATAAACTAAATTAAATACAGTATATTCACAGAACAGCTACATAGGGATTCTAGACTACTAAGCATCACTTAAACTTTACCTCTTCACATTCAGCGGTGTAAGCAATCCCAGAAAAGACGGACACGCCGACACCCAGGTATAGTAGCAGTATTCCCACTTCACGGTAACTGTGCTGCAGATATAACACACAGAATCTAGAAATTACCCTCAGCAGAATAATTAGAAAAGATACTTCAGCAGAGGTTTATCTGTTGGTTTTCCTGTTTCTATGTGTGTAACACTACCTCAACAAAGTTTGATTGATAAAGGTTTTATATGTTTTATAAAACCACACTCAAGATTTGCAGACATTAACAAAAATATCAAGAACTAAGACACTGGAGCTGAGTAATGTTTTAGTTATACAGGACATAATGCTGTTTCATCAGACATAGTACATAAATAAAGCAGAAAGACGTTTTACATGTTGTGCCTCATGGAAGTATGATGAGAGTGACATTTAAATGAGAGGATATCTGCACTGACATTTTATTAGAGCTGTCATGTAATCCATTCTATCTCCTGGGAAAACACAGAAGAACATCCTCTGTCAATTTGGTAAACTAAAAATAAAATACAGCCTGCTAACATCCCACACCGCTAATGCCACACCGCTTGCTGCTAAATATAGCTGATGGATTTTCTTATTTTTCCTGTGAGTGAGAGCTGAAGAATACTTTAAAGTTACAAGGCTAAAGCTGGGCTAGATTGTCTTTTTATTGTTCCTGTGATGATGGCTTGAGAAAATAAAATCTATTGAAGTTCATTTAAAGTCCCAACAATAACTGTTTATGCTGGTTATAAAGCTGAACATCTGATAAAGTTTTACTTTCTTTAAATTAAACCAGAATAAATCAAAATTGATTACGAAACATTAGGAAAATGTTATCTCAGAGCATTTAATATTGATCTTTCCTGCAGTGATGAGCCTCTCTTCCTGATGCAGATGGAGAAATCATGACTGTAATGTGAGCTACTGAAAACATCTTTAGAGAAAGCATCTATCTATACAGTAAGTTTCCTTGTGTTACTGAGTAGTTTTCTTTAAGGTTATATAGAAGAGTGACAGGAGGCATAACAACACTGATTTACAGAGATGCAAATGTTTTCATTAGGAGTCAATGGTTTGCACAGATAATTTCCAATTAGGTTGATAAATATGGAGAAAGTGACTTTAAATTGTGGTATAGTATAAGAAATATTTTAATTTCAGAAAGGTTCAAATTAAACCGGACGATTTCTTGCATAATTTTACATACAAATCATCCACTGCTCTAGCCACTAATTGGGGTGAGAAAAGAGCAGCAGACTTTCTGGGGTCAGATGAATCCATCCAATCTGTGAATGATTAAACCTGTGTACACAGGGAAGCCTGTGCAGCAGCACTAGCCTTGTTTGACTTGCAGAACTGCATGCATGTGAGGTTCTCTCATCTCAGTCAGTAATTACTGCTGCCAGTTTTAACTATGAATGGATGGACAACTGCCTGAATGACACTGAAAGCAACTACAAAGTGCAAAGGCAGCCAACTTATTTGACTCCAGTTTCTTACAATCTGATCAAGAAAAAAAAAAACATTTTGAGTGTGTCAGCTTGTGAGCTCAAGGCTTTTCATTAAAACACAAATAAATTGGCTCATAATGCTCGACTGAAACCTTTGGCCCAGTACCACAAAAGACTAAAATTGAGCTTGTTAATGTCATTAAAATCCTGTTAAGGGTATTAAAAGGAAACGGGAAAATACAAAGTTTCTCCCCAGAATGTTTATATACTCTTGTTTCTGATAAAAAATGAAAATAGAAATAAAAACATTTATTGTGTTTACATTTTAACACACTGAAATCTATATAACTATTTAAACAAAATGAACTATTCCAGTTGTTCATGCAAAAGGAGCTTTGACAAGTTGTTCAGCCCTATTCGTGGACATACATCTCACTAGGCTGTTGCTATGTAAAACTTCTGTTTTCTATTGGTCTTATGTAAAGTTTGAATTGAAATGGAAACATAATTTCAGGTTATTAGAAGTTATGATACAAAATGAACAGGAACAGATGGTTGAAACATATAAAATCTGTATTTTAGTATTACAGTAACAATGGAGCAAGCAACATCCATCTTGATTTTCAAGCCTAATTCAACTAACTAAAAAACAACTTTTCAATGTTACTTTAATCTACTGACCTCATTAGATATCAGACTTCTTTAAGAGCCAAATAGATGTTGTCAGATGCATCTGCAAAAAGCTCACCCGAAGTGTTGCTCCCAGAGAGCGCAGACCTGTGGAGTGTCGGGCCAACTTCAAAACTCTAAAGATCCTCATTAACCTGAACACCTGGGAGAAATAAAAGCCTTGAGTCTCATAGAAAGAAATGTTTCTGTGACTTAAGTCACACAGTCATGCAAAGATGAACGACAGTGAGGTCATATTACAAGTTCCAGTATCCTACAGTTTTAACTATTTTTAAGATGTTTCTTTCAATGACTTAAAGGGACATTTAGAGTCAACTGTGGAGGCTGGTGTCATGTACTACACAGTTCAGTTCCTTGTTACAGGTAAAAAAGCATGTTGGTTTTTGGACAGGTTGAAATGAACAAAAATCTAAAAGCAATGATGCAGTTTGAATTAGAAGAGCTGTGATCACCTCCCCTTCCTTTTTGAAAGCAATCTCTCTGTCACCTTGGTGATCCAGAAGGAAGAAATATTTTTTACAGATAGAAACATGCCACCTTATTTTTCTTTACAGGTCTAAAAATGTTAAGCTCAAAATAGAATGTTTTCCTAACATTAGTCACCCAATTTGTTTGCACAGAAATCAAATCCAACACAAAACTAACTTTTTTCAGAACTGTAATTTGAGAGTGAGAATGGGTGTACACCAGTAAACCTGTATTAGTCGCCCCAGGTCTCCCAGTTCAGACTCGGATCCCACAGTCAAGTCAAAGACCAGGGTGATGTAGATGGGAACCACTGACACCAGGTCGATAATGTTGAGTGGGTGATGGAAGAACTTCTTCCTGTTTGGAGCGAGCAGCAGCCGCGTCACAACCTGAGGTCAGAAACAGACTGTAGCTTTCAGTTTCTACCAGCACACATCACCTGCTTCACAAGCCATTTTGTTTGAGTGTCCTCACCTCAAAGGTGAACCAGCAGGTACAGAACACCTCAAGAGCCTGGGTAGTTTTGTCTTCGATCAGCTTTCCATCTGAGTCAAAAGTCTGTTAAAAGCCATTGCCATTTGTTAAAGCATATTATTTAATTTTCTTTTTTATTCACCGTCCTACCTAATAAACAGCATTTGATCATAAATCATACCAAAAAGTTGATGCTTTTCTGTTTTCTTTTCATTCTTGCAAAATAAAATCTTTCATTTCTATCTTAGCAATCATTTGCATTGGTAAACATTGGCTTGAGACATTTACCAAAGCAATATATGTTCCTTTCTTGGTCGTTGAACTAAGATTTCTGTAGTGGGACTTATTGATTGCTGCTTTCAGTTTATTGGAAATACTGATAATTACACTTTTGTGAAGTCATTGGGAATTTTCAGTTTTAGCTTTGCAAAACACTACCTGCTCTTTATCAACCACACACTCACTCCTACCTTTTACTGAAAATGAGATCACAGTGTGTCTGAAGTCCTAAAACTCAGAGGGCCTGAATAACATCAAAATATGTGTTTATAATATGTTATCCTGTGCTTTTCCCCCAGGAACAAAATTAACATGAAGCCTTAATCTGCCCTGTCCTCTACATGTGTTTACACTTCAGAACTACCAAATAGGATTGCAAAATAAAATGTTAGAACTTGTCAGTGCATTAAGCATCAATAATACCTGAGATAGTTGGCAAATATAATATTTAAGCATGTAGATTTATCAGCGTCAAGAAACAGAAAGTAGGTGAAGAATGAATTTCGTATTGGATTAAATCAGATACAACTTCATTTAAGTTTCAGAATTTTGAGTTACCCGCATAATTGTTTGAGTTATGAGTCAACAGATATGATTCTGTAAGTGCCGTTTTATCATAGGTAGAGGCTATAATCTTTGAAGCTCTTCTGTAACAACCTGATACTCTGGGATGCTGTTAATGCACATAGTGGCAATGGATGTGAGCACCACTCCGATGGAGAGCAGACTGAAGAGCTTGCTCGGGATGGAGTATCCCGGGTTCTCCAGTGTAAGCCACAAACATTTCTTGATGTTCCCGTAGCGAACTTCCTGGAAATGCTGCATGTCTCTATGAGGAGACAGGATGACAGTAACGTAAAGGTTAGCAGCAAAACGAGAGTTTCAGAGCCAGATTGAAAATTTACATATACTGCAAATGTCTGACTTGTTTAAATCAGAAATCTCGTCCACAGATGTGTCGACACTGCTGACATCACTCTCATCATCCCAGCTGCGGTGTCGACCTCTCTCCAGCTTGCGGTCATGGTAACGATAACTACAGCAGGTGTCCAGGAAGAACTCATTGATGCCCCAATACTCTATCTCTTGACTTTGTGGGGGAAAAACACTCCAAATCAATGCCATATCTCAAATATTTGATATAGTAGGTGAAAACCTCAAAAAACTTGGTGAAAAATTCCTTTAAAAATTTGTAATTTACATTAGTTCATTTGTAAAGGACAGGGATTTGTAACTTTTCTTGACTTCTAATCTGATGTCTTTAAAGAAGAAAAGGCACTCAGTTACACATTAAACACATTAAGAGAGTCTTAACAGAAGACCAGCCACTATATTTGCTTGCAGTGCAACAAAATAAACCACAAATCCTGTGCATGTGCAAGAAGATCTCAATTACTGTAGCTAAGATTGCTTATGCAGCACCTCTCTACTTGGCACCTCATTAAAACAGGTAAAACGTGGAGCAATTTGCAGGCAAATTAAATTAGCATGGTTTTATTTTTGTGTGACATTAAGGATGATGTCACAGTGAAATCAAACATACCTGAAGGAGAACACACAGAGTTCCTCCATCACATGAAGTTTACCAGTCTGATAAAAGTGGAGGACATAAGGAAACAGACCTGGATTTCTATCAAAGTAAAACTCTTTCTCCTGTACATCATAGTCATCACACACCTAGAGGAGCGAAGCGAATAAAATGAAGGTTAAGTTCTGTGTCTAATTATTTTGAACTTTCATTTGTTAAAGAATTGGATCCACCTGCAGTATGTCTTCCTCTGAATCGCACGCCAGTAATTTTCCCAACCTGGTGTCTGGGAATTTCTTGAGAGTGCTGGAACAGAGGCTCCTCTTCAGCCCGCCGACATTCACATGAACGAGACCCTCTTCAGAGTCCTGATGGATCCAGCTGGGCAAAGACTCCTTCACCATGGTGAAATCTACTGAAGCAAAACAGAGATTAAAATTAAACAGTAATGGTGCCAACAAATTAAAATTACAATAAAGAGATGTTTGTTAAATATCACTTTCAATTCAGATGTCTGTTTGCTATATTGTATTCACAGAGCAGGTTTGGTGAGTAGGTGTGAAGTGGGGTGCAGCATAATGCAAGCTTCTCTCGTAATAAATTCGTATCAATGCAGGTTTCTTCCAAGTTTGAGGGTTTATGTTTTGAAAAGGCCAAAGCAAAATAAAGTAGGTTCCTCTTTGCAGCCATATTGCATAACCATCTTATGAAAAATGGGTGGAAATTTCTGACCTAACTTCTGGTTTCACATTTAGGCTAACTGTAAAGTACATAAGCTAGTTTAAACCAAAACTCTATAAAATGTTCAAAACTCAATTTTTTTTTACATTTAAAAAGTTTGCCCATTTTTGACTTGTACAAGGTCTGCTAAATGTACTGAAGAAATGCATTAACATTTCTACTGTGTTTTTTGGAGGAAAAAAAAGCTCAGAAAGACCTGATCCATTGATAACTTAAAAAATCAACACTAGTTAAAGAAAGTTTGAAAGTTATCAAATAAAACTGCCTTGGCTTGTAATTTTCATCAAAATGTAGCAAAGCATGGTGTGGGAAGTAAGGGAGTAATAACTGGAAAGATTATTAGCTGTGACTGAAATAGAAATGAACACTTTGCTATTGCTATACGGTCCAATCATGAGTCCCATTGCTCTACCTGCACTCATTTCAGAGAGAAAACATCTGAAAACAAGCAGAGAACCGCTGCGATGGCAGTCTCCTGCTGCCTTTCTGGACACAGCAGCTCATTGTGATGATGAGACATTTGTGTGTCTTTCTTCTGGCTTTAAAAAATAATGAGCCAGCCATAAGATTTTTTTTTGTTGTTGTAATCTTTTCTTCTTCTCATACTGGCAATTTAATGATCTTTTTTATGAGTTTCCACTGCAAGTGATAAAGAGCTAGAAACTTTAAAGAGTTGTCTTTTTTCATGTAGTTTTTCTGTCTTGGTTTCAAAATCACAGTAGGAAAGAAGAATAAAACAAACAAGCATGGGTGGACTTTCAGAGAAAAAACTCAGTGGAGGAAATTATTTACCTCTGAAACCTCACAGTAAGTTTGAATAATGATTTTTTTTTTCCTGCTGTTTGATAATAAACTTTGAAGTTTGCATTCACATTTATAAGAATGCCCTAAAGAAGCCAAGGAGAATATTTTGAGATATATTACTTTCTAAGAGTAAAGGAAGATCAAAAATTGAAACGCTCACCACAAAGGTTTTCAAATATAAACATAAATAAAACCATTTGGATTTTAATTCAAACATTACCAGGTGACTACATCAAACACAACAAATTGAAAAGGAACAGTCGCACACATAACATATGTAATATTTATGTTGAGAAACCTTTATATTTGTATCAGTATACTGATATAATTTTTTCACTCAGATGCAGTTACCATGGAGCTGCTTTTAATACACAAACCACATTTCTCCGAGAAGAGTATCATGAATCTACTTACTGTTATCAACAATTTTCCAAACAAAAAGTTTTAATTATTTTTGACTGCTTTTTAAACTGTTTTTATTAAATCGTACCACTTATTTTTACAAACGGACTCAAGTTTAGTCAGGTTTGAATCCCTTCCTGGGGTTCTCCTGCATGAAGTTAGCATGTTCTCGCCATGCAGGCATGGGTTCTGTCTCCAGCTTCCACCCACAGACTAAAAGAATAATGTTTTTTCAATTGCTCTCCTTATATTGCCATATAGGTATGAGTTGTTGTGTGTATGGTTGTTTGTCCAACATGTCTCTATGTTGCCCTGTTATGGAGATAAACACCAGCCACTTCCCCATGACCTAGCAAGAATAAGCAGATAGACAATGGATGAATGGCTGAATCTTTGTATGGCAGTAGAAAAATCAATAGGCTATGATAGGATTTTATTGTAAACAAAACTCTGTAACTTTCTCTAAGTGATAAGGTCGCAAGAAAATTTTACGAAACAGTAGATGCATCAATAACTCCTCCACAGGCTAATTTACTGCATCCCAGTATGAACACCCACACGGTGAATACACTCTGACAGTGAAAACTACACAGTGAGATCTCCCACCAGATGAATTAATTACAACGTTCATATCAAACTTTAAAGCTGTGCAAAGGATTGTGACATTTTCACTCACTCGCAGATGTTCCTCCTCCCATTATTGCCGAAAATACTTCTCACAATGCAAAGTAAAAACTCTGTCAGAAAAAAAAGTAATTCAATCCAGTTCGATCAACATTGCTTAGCAACAAGTAAAGTTTCAGAGTCTCTGGATCTCTGTTTCAGTAGCTGGCTTTCTTACAAACATCTAAGACTTCACAAAATAAATACTTTGAAGATAGTGTGAAGCTAAGTGAGCAATACTCTTACCTGAAATTTCTTAACTGTAAACTTTTTATTATCAAAATCAAATATGTATTGCATTATTTTGCACATTTATTCTATTACTTCTGAGTGATGTCTGATCAGCAGCTCCGAACGCCAGCACTGACAGGAGCTTTTCAGAGTCCACACAGAGGGCTCATAGCTTCAGGTAAAGTGCAGCTAAGATGTGATCCCGTAATGCTATAAAGTTTCTAATTGGTGAATTCGGAAAACGGCCTGAGGACTCCAGTGTAAGCGTAATGTGAGCGTAATGGTATTTTAGCCACAGTGATCTGACTTAATTCGTTCCTGAATCTTTCTCTTTCTTCCTGCTGGTATTTAATCAGATCTTCCTGAGTTATATGGTCACATGATCTGGCATCAGCTAACCATACTGACATCAGCATGTTGGTGTAAAAATCATGTGTGGGCGGTGTGTTTGTTTGAGGGACACGTAATTAGTTTTTAAAATGATAGATGTGAGCAGTGGCTGAAAAATGTAAAACTTGCTTAATTTTTGGTTCTTCCTTATTGGAAAGTATTCATCTTTATTTATTTTTTTCTTATTCTCCACTTGTTTCAGTTCTGCATATTTTTGTTAATTAGCATTTTTAAGCCTATTTTTTTAATCTGTTAAATGTGTTTTGTGTTCTTTTGCCTTCACTCTTTTTGTTTACTGTATAATTCTTTGTGAAGTTTTGCTTTTTTGTCTAACTTTTAGAATTAACACAAATTTATTAGAATTGACATTTTTCACATAATAACTGCTTTCCTCTAAGTTTCTTTAAAATGACCTTGTTGCTTAGTTAGCTACAGCATTCCGCTCATCCCACACCATTGGCGAGCTTAACCTCAAAATGTCATCATATTGATTGATCTGAATGTGAGTCCTTCTTTTTGTTCAAAACAACAATAACATGCTTGAAATGTTGAATTTAAAACAACTGCATAGATAGTGACTTATTCAGAAAACTGTTTGGTGACTTTTTTCTCTCACTATGCTAAATAAATTGCAAAATCAAATATAAAAACACTACATGCTTTACTTTAATAGGGAAAGACATTAAATATTTCACACATTTTTCTAAGTGCCTCTGAATTGTCAGTCAGTTCTTCATGGTGATTCTTTCCCTGGTAGCTCATAGAGAGGTGAGGTGTGTTTGGAGGGGCAGAGATAAAATACGCGACCAGAACCAGTGAGATATTTTCCTCAACTGAGACATTGGGAGAGGCCTGAACAACATATCAAGATTTTGTAGAAATACATGTTTTTGTTTTTATCCTTTTTACATTGCTTTACTAACCCTAAACCTAATGAATTATTTGTTTCTATATGAAAGCAGAACAAAAAAAGCAAAGACTTACTTTGTGCAAACTCAATTTCACTTGATTTAACAGTTTCAAACAATGTAATTTAAATATTTAATACAATCTTTTGGTTTGTATATAGTGAAAAGAAACTTACTCCTTATTTTTTGACCTAGCAGTTACTCACCTTGACCTTCTGCACCAATTAATAGATCAGCAATTTCAATTTTTCTTTGCTCTGACCAGTGATCACCAGGTCAAATTCTGAAAAAAACATTTATGTTTTTTCTATTTTTCAATTAAAACTTCTCTGCATTTTTGGTCCATACAAATATTAATTGAAAACAAGTTGGATGAAGTATTTTCTTTTTTTCTTTGTTGAAGAAAAAAAAACAGGTAAAGGTTTGCAACAAATGCTTTAGTAAGTGGAGATGTTTTCTTCACTTTCTCTTAGAACTCCTCTATTAATCTCTACATAAATGTAACTTCCATTATATATAAGACAGAGAAAAGTGTTGCAGTCTTTTTTTCAGCCAGCTTACTGGCAGTGTGCAGCAACAAGTAGGGAAGGAGTACATCTGTTAAAAATGTCCCTGGTATTTTATTGTAAGAGCCTCATGACTTTATGAAACTGTTACATTTTCAAATCTTGATATCGTTAACCAGCCTATGCCTGCTACAAACCAAGGCCAACTTAGTTTGTATTTATCTGTATTAATCTGTTTCTGTTCACATCTCATTGTCAAGATTTGTCCTGAAAGTCACTGAACAATTGAAATCTAAATTAAGCAAATGTGTAAAAATGTTTAGCAAAGATTAATCTTTTACTTAACCTAAAAAAATGTGTTGAAAATAAAAACTCAAAAGTTTTTATGACTTTTTTCCCTTTCATCAACTAATTTGCCTAAAATCCAGAGTTTGTCATTTCTTATATAGTATTATGTCAGTATTATGCTCGTTTTGTTGCAGTACTCCAATGTTGTACCAAAGTCGGATTTAGCTTGAGAAACATCAAGATTACTGTCTACACTTATTTTGCTTTCATTAAAATTCTATTAATTTTACAACCATTATTGTTATTGACAATTGTGAAGAAAATGTTATTGGTTTCATCGTTCATAACAGGAAAGCCAACAAAGCCAATTAACTGTGGTGCAGTAGGAATCTTCCTGTGTGCATGACATGATGAGCTTATGCTGAGCTCCCAGTGGGGTTCAACACGATGAAAACAGAAATAAAGTTGATCTATAATTCAACACTTCTGCTTTAAACTCAACTGTGCAAAGAAGCAGCTGCAACAACAAACTATTATAGGGTGGATCAGTGCTTAGCAATCACCGAGCCGTGTTAATGATGTTTGAATGGATTGTCTTCAAAGCTCCTGGTTTCACTGAGAAAAAGTCTTTGTTACTTACTGCTGAGTTTCCTGACGACGCTCCTTCATCACCAGAATAACGTCCTCATCATCACATGTCAGATTCACCCCATGGTGGTTGAGTAAGTTTTATCCTTACTTATCCAAAAACAATAAAATCTCAAACAGGTTGGAAAAGAAAGAATACAAGACGACTTGTTCTTCTGAGTAAAGTGAGCCTTTTCCTTCATCTGCAGTTAAAGACTCGTGAGAAGAGAAGCCATTCAGCTGGAGGGGTGCAGGTTTCCTCCATCTGAACCGCGGCTCGTTCTCATCTCTCTCGGTGGCGAATCTTCGGCTTTTTCCGTCACAATCCGGAAAAGGAGACCCGTCTCCAAAAAGCATTTCCTCGTAAACTCGTAAGCTATGCTTACGTTTTCTCATGGTGTATTGGCGACCCCCAGTGGTTTTCAAAAGAACTATTCCTGTTTATTTAATATTTGCCAGTGATCATTTTGTTAGCTAAACTGATCAGTTTATTATTATGTGTTGTTGTTGTTTAGTAAAACAACAAGTCATCTGACATTCTTTAAACAGCTCAAGATGCCAGATTTATTTTGAACCAATTTTCACTCTCAAGCTAAAGCAAAACAGTAGGCAGCTCAAACATGTTTTTAAGGAGCTCTACTGGGTTTCTGGCGCTTTAATCCAAAATTGGCTTAAAAAATAGTTAAGGAATTTTTAGTCCTTTTTAGTTGCTTTTGTTGATGCAATAAAGGATACTTTAGCCAAGTACTTAGTTTTTTTTTTTTTCATCTAGTAGATCTAAAGGCCACAATGTTAATGTTCAATACAAAAATATAATAATAAAATTATATTTAAAGTATTTAACAATACATCCTACTTTAATGATTAGGGACTGTTGAAATATCAATTTAATTTTTTTTTAATTTGTTTATATTATAACAAAAACAGAGGAACCATTTTTTCTTAATAATTTAAAGGCAGAGAAACAGAGACATGTGGTTATTTTATAGATGCATTTACTAAAAATGGTCCATTTATTTAAATTTCTCTATCAAAACAGAAGACTTTCCTTAATGCAATTTAATGTATCACTAAGATGATTACGCCATCTGGTGGCCAAAGTGTTGTTTTTCTCAACACCTGAATGTCAAAATGACAATTTATGTTCATATTTGAACAAAAATATTTACTCAGTTGTTCCTTTAAACACAGAAATAATAATTCCCACCCATGCTACGAAAGTTTATGTAGTTTATGTATTGTGAGAATTTGACTGACATTTCTGATTATGTCCATATTAGTGCTAGATACACACAAAATGAACATAAAATATTTATGTTGTTTAACTATTTTCACACAAAAGTCATAAAAGTCAGAAATTTGAAACAAACAGATAAATGTGTCTTAAATCCTGGAATCACGTCATAATTCACTGATTAAATGGTGGGCTCCATGCCTCCCACAGGACTTTATTTAATATGCAAGTGTCTTTTAAGGCTCCAGGTCTGACCCCACTGACCCTTTACCTGGGCCAGGACAGATACCGGGTCCAGTACTTCCTGAAGAGCTCGTCCCGGAACCCATAGATAACTGGACTCATGAAGCGAGGGATGATGTAGACGAGCAAGAAAAAGATGTAGCGGATCTCCAGGATGAGCTGGGGGAACAGGGAAATCAGAGCAGCCTGGAGGGAGGGAACCACGAAGGCCAACATGCACAACAGCAGCTGAACGTGAGGAAGGAAGAAAAATTAGTTCATGTGTACAAACAAATGCAAAGAAAGTTAGAGTAATAAAGTAATAAACTCAAGCCAGTAAAATCCTTTTGATATGAAATGATATAAAAAATATATCATTTGTTATTTCTCTAACAAAATACTTGAAATCACAAACCAAACACATCACAATCTCTGGTGTACAAAAGATTTTACTAAATAACATTTTCACTGATTCTGGCAAAAGAAAGTGGACAAATGAGCAATTTATCAAGCTGTGCTTTATATTTCCAATGTTTATCAAACAAATTCGTTACACTCAGATATACCTAACTCATAAAGCCTTTTTGCATCTCTTCTATAACTTTTTGATTCTTTCAACATTGTCATAAAAGGCAAGGACCAAAAAATACAAGGCAACGTTCACTGACTATTATTTTCAATATGTTTTAACAAATATACTTGGACTAAACAGATGCTGATCTTGAAAGCATCTACATGGAGAAGAATCTGTGAAGGCTGAGATAGCTGTGATTATTTACTAACTAAAAATTGAAATGTATCAAAGTCTGTATTTTTAAATTATAGATATTGAAACAAATGTCTGTTTTTATTGTAGGTGAATGCCAGGTATTGTTTTGATCAGTGAGATTGAAACGTCACCTGCACTCCATGAAGCAGCACAGTGTTCCTGGCTCTCCTCACTGACACCAGGCTGGTGGAGGCAGCCTGTGCTGTCAGCATGATCTTACAGTAGGTGTAGAGCAGCGTGAGCGCCACGAAGGAGAGGTACACCCCATCAAACACACAGTTTTTGTAATAGATGGAAGGATCAGAGAAGAGAAAGGAGTGGTCACAAAATATGGCCCTGTAGAAGAACTTTGGAGGCTCCTTGATCATGGTGATGAGGAGGTCAGTGATCGGAGGGGTGGCAGTGAGGATGAGAATGACACCGATGAGGAAAATGGTGCGGGGCACTGTGCAGATGTGGCTGTAGTGTAGCGGCAAGCAGATGGCGATGAAGCGCTCTACTGCCATCCCGGCCAAAATGAGAGGGGTGGAGCGTGTGGTGAAGACTGCTGTCATTATCTGAAGGTGGTGCAAACATTGTAGCTGTGGTTAGAAATATAATACAAAGGTTAAAAGTACTGATGGTTTTACATTGTTGATTTTAGCTACAAACATGCAGCAGATTTTAAAGATATTCCTTAGTCCATATTAAAAGCCACAGTCAAAAGGAATTTCTGTACTTTAACAATTACCTTAACAATTATTTTCCTGCCTGCTTTTCCCTTTTTGTTTTTATGTCCCTCCACTTATGTTAAAATGTGAAGCTTATGTGAAGAAAAGACAAAAAAATAGTATTTAAGTTTACTGTCTTATTTTAGACCAGGTTCTACGCAGCAGAGGCAATAAAAAGTAGCCAGAATTTACCAGAAGACAACAAATGGAGACGTGGATCTTCCTGAAGACATAGCTGACCACATAGAGAGTTGTTACCAACGTAAGCTGCAGAGCATCATTGACCACCATGCAGATGAACATGATGTACCGGGAGTTCTCATAAAAGACACTAAGGTCAAAGGAAATGAGCTGAGAGAGAAATGGACACTTATATGTTCATGTTAGTTAGAAAATATAACGGCTACGGCAAATAGTTCTATGATGATCAATGTCCTAACTTTGTGGAAAGTTAACAGGTGAACTGAACAAGCTGTTCAATTGTACTTAGTTTTTCCATCCTTTTTCTTCATCTACAGCACAATCATAAGAAACATTACATAGCATGACAACATTTTTTGTCTGCAATTTTATGTCTAACTAAACATCCATACCTGTGTTGTAGAAAGGTGTACACCATGCTGCTGTTGATGACGCTGAGGGCCAGCCACACCATAACGGCAACAATGTTTTTAGCTAAAGCACTGGAGAAACTGTCTTTAGGTAGATCCACATTGAGCCCTGTCTCTGTCGATGTGCTGTTACTCAAAAGAAGAGCCAGTTGCATGGAGGAGGAGGAGGAATTCATCATCAACATCTCCACTCTGTTTAAAGAAGTACAGAGATTCAATCTGGTCTTTAGTTCTTGGACTAATGTTCTATTTAGTGAAAATAATAAAGGCATACATGGGATGATTGCTGGCGTGTTACAGGTACATGTTCTAATCGTGATTATAATTTGACTAAATTGTTTTTTTATCTAATCTTGTTAAAGATTATCAAAAATTATTATTGATCTGTTTTAGAAAACATCTGAAGACAAATATACAAGATTTATTGACAAGATCTACTGGATAGATTTTGCACAAATATATAACTTGTTTAAAGGCTTCTATAATTCATATTAAAGACTCCACAAAAGAGCTGTATTAGAAAACATGTAAAACATCTGAATATATAACTGTTTTCTAATATTAGTGCTAGATACACACAAAATGAACATAAAATATTTATGTTGTTTAACTATTTTCACACAATTAATAACAGATTCTACACTTAAATTACCTTGACTAGAAAGTTTTATAGACAAATTTGGTAAACTCACAAGGCAAGTAGAACAAGCTTTAAGATATACCAGATAAGCAAATGATCAGTACTACTAATGTCAGCTGAATCCTAAATTTACTTTATGTAAATTACATAAAGTAATTTACTCACAGATCATAAACTGAAGACATAGCACTGACATAATCAGAAGCAGACATCTCTGCTTGCTCATTTATAAACAACCTGACAGTGCGTTGGTCTCTGAGTATGAATCAGGTAAATGGGTTGGATGAAGGCTATGATGTAATAGGTTATGCTATAAGTACATGTAATGAGCATGTGGATGTATTTTGCTTTCTGAACCATTAAAAATATCAGGAATAAGACATGACATGGTTCAGTTTGTGTTTAAACAGTTCAGCTTTCCAAACTTGCCTGATTGGAACGCTATAGAGAGTTTATGGGATATTTATCACCAAGAGGAGGGTGAGAGACATCAGAGTCAATAATGCAGGTAACATGAAGGCTGCACCTCAGAAGTGTCACAGGCTGATCGCCTTCGGTTGGCGCACAGTGTAAAGACATGCGTTGCGTTTCCGATGGGTCTGAGTTCAAGACCTGCAGGCGGAATGGTCAGAAGCACCCTCTTTATCAAGAGTGACAGCTGGAGTTTTAAAGTTAAACACGGAAGACCGACTTTGAGGTACTTTTAGGAGTTCGAGCGGCTTGATGGGTGAGTGCTCTGTTGGCGCACTGCGTAAAGACAAGCGTTGCGGTTCCGATGTGCCTGAGTTCAAGACCTGCAGGCGGAATGGTCCGAAGCACCCTCTTTATCCAGAGTGACAGCTGGAGTTCTAAAGTTAAACACGGAAGACCGACTTTGAGGTACTTTTAGGAGT